GTCAGATCTTCTAGGCTTTCTGAAATCCTGGGACTCTTTTTTTTTTTTTTTTTTTTTTTTTTTTATTATTATTTTGTGTACAGTGTGGGAGAGATCAGTAATTCAGATTATGTATAGTTGAATCAGAGTCTCCCAAAATCCATTCAGAAAGCCAACCACCATTTCATTGGCACATTTGGGAATAAAACAAGCGTTCAGATTTTATCCCTGTCTTTGCCTGCTATCCACTACTGTCGGAGAAATGCGATCAAACACTGCATTCAACAACTGCTTGAGCTGCACTTTGCATGTACCTTCAAAACCTTCCCCGAGAACTGTGAGCCTGGTGCCCAGTCAGCCCATTGCAAAGGACCTAAGCAGTCCTGGAGACCTTGTTGTAGCTCCTCAACTTGACAATGTCAGTTTGAATCGGAGCTTTCCAGAAGCCGCTCTCATTTTTTTTTTTCCCTTGACTTCTCCTCAAAATAAAACGTAGTTTGAGCGTGTATGATGCCTGTGTGTTCACATTATTTCTGAAAATAAAATTCTTTCTGTGAAGAAGTGGAGAAGCATAAGTAAACAGAAATGGGAAAGGGGGACTGAGAAAGAATTAGGGAAGAAGAGGGTTCGCTATGGTCAGAGGGACGAACAGAACGGATGTGAGGACCAGGGCAAGGATGGGAACAGGTAATTCAGCAGAGAAAATCTGAGATCAGGTGCGTGACAGCCCACCATTTTCCCTCGTTTGTCCATAGCAAAAGCCCATTGGGAGTATTAAAAATCTGATTCTCATCTCCACTCAAGTCATCTGGAGCCTGAGGGGATCCTGAATGTTTGTGGGACTCTTTTCTCCCTGTGCTCTGTCCTTCCCAGTGCAGACAAGCCTCTTCTGAGGACCTCTGCCTTTGGGGAGCCATTAACCCCAAGGCAGTTAAACACTGGGATCATGGAATGAAGGTAATGGAAACAAAAATCTCTTAAGCCTCCGAAAGACAAAGATAGTGGAGGATAAGGGGGACAGATAGTGACTCCTCATGGTGGAAAGCTGACTACAGTAAGCTGAAGAAAATAGTCTAGTTCGAGTGGGACTGGCTGGGGTGGGTGTGGAGCCTGCTTAGGGCACCCTGTCAGAATGAAAGGCAGCTTTCCTAAGGTGACATGGGTGGTGGGGGCACAAGCCAAGTGCAAATACAGTGTGATAAATAATAGAAGAATTTTGCTTTCGCTAAAAGTAATTAAACAATTCCTTTTATTGAGTTAGGCTAAAGCTATTATTAATACGACGATCCAAATTTTAAGAAAAGTAAAAGAATTTACTACTGGGAAAAGAAAAGGGGGGAATTGATCTGAGGAAACACCAACCCAACAGCCCCCCCCCTTCTTGGGATGCTCACCAGATGGTCCGTATCAAAGGATGGTAACTCCTTTGCAATGAAATGAGAAAGAACAGGACGGGCCATCTCTGGTATCTCTTGTGCTCGAGAGAAGAGAGGAACTGAACCACTGAGCTATAAAGACAAAGGAGCTACAAATTAGCCCAGACTTGAAGGACAAGGTGTACGAGACCACAGGACTGAGTTGGCACAGAAGTAAGGGTCAGCTAGCGAACACGGTGATGAAGACTACGAGCCTTCATCTGCAGACCCCTGCCCACGACCACCAGGGAGCACTGCGCAGGTGCGACGGGAGGAATTTGGGGTGGGGGGATATGTTAAGGATTTCTCAGAACTAATTGTAATATTCCCTCCCTATCCTTAGAGTAGTGATGCATATGTGTTAGAGTAGATGAATATGTCACCTTTTATACAATAAAAGGGAGCCCCTTTGGCTCCAGAGGGCGTGCCATTGCGCCCAGCGCTGTATTCTTTGCTCCACTGACTTTGTCCCCAATAAACCTTTTTTTTTATATATATATGTGAGCTTGTTTCTCCCATACAGTGTGTGCTGTAGGATGAGCCATGCGTGGAACCCTGCCTGCGATCCACACCCTCTGCTGCAACAGCTCACGTGCCACCATCGTCCTTCATCTGACAGGCTCGATGGGGCAAGAGGGGAAGTATCAACCAGAAAAAGTAGCGTAGGGACAGTATTTTCTGTGACCACAACCCACTCTGCAGTTAGGAACAGCCTGCCTGTTTTTTTCACCACACAGTCTAAATATTTTTAAGTGGGATCATGAGATCCACTCCCACAAGACAGAAATTAGGGCAGGTGCTTAGAAACCACATATTATTCTCCAGCTAGCAGCAGTAGCATCACCAGCAGTAGCTGCAAAAGTGTGACTAATCGTTAAGATGTCACAAAGAACAAATACATTCTTAATAAAAAATTTCTAGGAAATTCAATAGCATGAAGCTTTACTAGTGCAGGATAGCAGTGTTTCATGGTATTTGTTCCCCTTCTAGAACTTGAAGTTCAGGAAAATATCAGAAAATAAACCTGCCAACAACAAAACTTCCAAAATGGCAGATCCCATGCGATGGTCACACAATCTTTGTTTTACCTTCCTGACTAGTTATTCCTAGACACACATTTGTACCTTGTATTCAAAGTGCTCTGAACATCAGCCATCTACACGCTTCCTGTAATCAAATCAAAAGCTGTTCCTTGGGAAAATACCCTCCCGCCTGCTACATCTGAGAACGCTTTCGCCCATATGTGCCACCAAATTCTGTGCTTTCATTACCCATCCTTAAACCCACACGTCACACGTATCTCCCACCTAACTGCTGGCAGCCCCGTCACAAGACCATCACTTTGTCCTCTCACTGAAACTCCACTGAGCAGCACGGAAATCAAATGCCACGCCATGCTACATACCCATCAGCCGATTATCCTGGCCCAGATACAGATGGTAAAATAGATGGGATCCATATCTGCATTTAATACCAGGGAGATGTATAATCCCTTTCGGTCACTGCCAGCTCTCAGAAGACAAACGACTGCAGTTATTGGAGTGTGCAGCTTAACTTCGTTTTCTGGATCTTCAAAGTTTGAAACAACAGCATTTATCTTTTAATTTTATTTCCTTCCCAACTCAACTTACTATTGTAGCACTTAAAGCCTACACAACAGACTTGCTGTTTTATCAATATTATCAATTCCACCTTTGGAGAGTCTCTCTCATGTAAAGCACAATAGTAAATAGAAAAATGAATAAAAATGGTTTAATATAACACAGTTCTGTAACTTATGTGGTTTATCTCCAGTGCTGTCACTTTTTTTTAAGCACAAATACAGACTGCAGCATGTTGAGGGTGGGAGAGTAAAGGGAGTGAAGAGAAAAGTTATATCCTACTACTCAAATACCAGAGACAGTATTTGGACATAAACCAATTTCTTCTGAGGCTTTGACTGCTAGATCTGCTAAATCTCATGCTGATTCCTACCAGATAAGATATTTTTTCTTTCAAAACTTTTTGTAAAAGGCAAAATATCTTTAACAACATGTAAAGTTAGAAACTAGGCATACACAGCCTGACAATTTTTCTACAAGAAAGAAAAAACAACAGCACCATCAGTTTTTACAGCTGCCAGTGCTTCCAGACACAAAACCTGCCTTCATGTTTCTATCTTTGCTGCTCTTATAGGAGTCGAACATAACAAAATCAAAGACCTGGGAGGGCTGTATGCATGCATGCGTGACAGAGAGTAGAATCCTGAAAAATTCAAAGTTTGGGTAGTATGTCATTAAAGCTATCAGTTTTGGTTTGGTCTCCTGCTGTAGCCTTACCAGAGGAAGCTTATCTGATCAACCAATGGAAGACTATGTACAAAATGCAAAAAACCACTTGGATCACGCAACCTGTGATTAAAACAATTATGAAGCAAATACACCCCATGGACTGTATTCATATATATTTAAAATTGCCACATTGAAATGAGTTCCTTTTCTAGTAACATCACATTTGCTTCATACTCCATTTCACACTGATGACAAAAATGATAGCAACCACAGAACTAAGTCTGAAATAAAGTAGTTCACTGTACATGAGCAAATTTATGGTACTGATTTGCCAACAGCTAGAACATAAAGTCTCAGAATTGTATGAACACAATAAGGAAATATTGGAACAGTTTAGATGACGGAGGAGGTTAATAAAACATAAGATATTGTAAATGCAGTATATGATACATGGGAAACAGATCAGGAATTGTGTAAAAACATCACTTTGTCTTTTCTGCATTTCTTTGACAATTCTAAAACTAGACACAGATGATTCTCTTCCTGAAATTTCCTGCTTTGCATTTTTCTATTTACAACAAACTCTCAATAAAAAAGGGTGATTTAATTAAAACCCACACACTTAAAGTATATAAGTATGTATTTAACAGAATACACAATTCCATTCCAAATCTGATTTATTACTAGAGAACATCATCAAGTTAATTATCTGTTTGATATTTGAATCACATGGTAAATTTTAAATGTATTGGAATAGATTTTCAAAAGTCTGTTAAATGCACGTCTTGTGGTTTCCATGCTACTTCTGACGTTTTCAGCCATTACCTTTTCTAGCAAGCATGACAGTTTAGGTCTAGCACTTCTCCCTGAACTCCCTTCTATTTTGGGCATTTTAAATATCTTTTCAGAGGTGCTCTTTGTCTAGCATCTCACAGTACTAAGTGGAATTAAATTTGAACAATCCACACAGAAACCCATACTCGGGAAGTGTGTCCTGACCAGACCAATGTAAACCTTTAAGTCCTCAGGAAATTCAGTTTCAATCACATTTGAATATAGCCACACATTCATACGTTCAGGTATGAAGAGGCACAAGGTGTGCTCTAGTAACAGCTTTGCACATGATGGAACACAAAAGTCTACATCATCCCACCGGACCATGCCAGCCTTCACTCCCTCCCTCCCGTAAATCCACCCCAAAACCAAGAACAGCTCCAATCCTGTATAAATCCTACATAACGCCACGATAATACCGAAGTCATCCATCCCTGGTAAGGCAATAACAAAAGCATCAAAGCCAGATATCACATAACCATTTGTAGCAGAGCACTCCTACCTTTTCAGTTTCATATAATTTTCACTAGCTGCAGGTCTGCATTCAGCACGTTGCACCACTATTCCTTCCAAGGAAAGCTTATCTAGAATGAAGAAAACAAAGCAAAACTGGACATTAAAATAAGATTCACCAACATGGTCAACATTTGAATTACTTTTCTACTAATTAAGTATTTAGTAAATGTAATTGTAAATTCTCAAATATCAAATTAAGTTCTAAAATCTCTGCTATTTAGACACTGAAGAAATAAGCAGGAAAAACATGCTTGAATAGCTGGTGTCCCCTAGACTTCCTTATATTGCCATAAGATGTTTTACATACCAAGAATGAATCACTAAGATCAAATTTTAAATAAGAGGTGGTAACTGTGTGGTCCTCTTTTCTCTAGACTGTTGCACTCAGATTATCTAGGAACTGTTTTCTGGAAATGTGCACTGAATACAGTCAGTGACCATGAAAAAAATAATCTACAAAGAGAACCCAATCATCAATGTATCCAAAGGTAGTGGGAGATAAAATGAGAGCTAATTTTATTCTATCATCAGAAAAACAGTAGCCTATTTTCATACGACAATAAAAAAAAAAAATTGTTCACCAAAGGAACATAATGCAGTAAAGTGATAATATTACATATTCTAACACTCAGGGAAGAGAAATAAACATTTGTAGTTAGCAACCTCAGAGATCACATACTAAGTTTTAGTTAATACTGCTCTCTGTATATTCACCTCTAACACAGTCACTTTGTAATCTAATGTGAACATCTTTTTGCCTAAAGCAACAATGACTAACAGAGCCGTACAACAGTACCAGCCTACTACGTAAAGGAGGAAAAGCTTCAATATTAAAAGTAACTTGATGTAGAAAGGAAGAGAGAGCGATGGTGGGCAAACACCTGCTTCTCTACTACAAAATTCTAGTGATAGTGCGTGTGTGTGGTGTGTATGTGACAATTTATCTACCTCTTTTGGGCATAGCCAGTGTAATACGTGTAAAACAAACACCTTTGGAACAGCCTCTCATAACAAGAAAGGTTGAGCTTTAATGGCTTGATTAGCTTTCACTACTTAAAATTTCCTTCCAACAGAGAGTCTCGTCTTGCTATTGGTGTAGGGTACTACACTGGCACCACCACCTTCAGCTGGCAACGTCACAGGAGAGAACAGAAATGCTTAGAAGTATTGATGCCAAATAACACAAGGCACTCTCAGATGCCTCTAATTTTTCCACTGCCTTATAGATTGAAATATTACTACATCTGGAAATCTAAGTCTGCTCTCCTTGAATAATTCAGAGAGGGATTACTTAGACACCATGTATTTTAAAATGGTTTAATCTAAAATTTCTTGGTTTGATTTAAACTAAATCCTTGAAATGAGTAAGAATGTCATACCTTTCCAGGTAGTTTTGAATGAAACAAATTTGTATTAAAATACTTCTGGTTTTACAGATCCCTATGGTTTATGATCAGGAGAGACAACCTGGCAAATTTGCCTGACCTCCTATGTATCAGACAAACAAATTTTATCGTCTTTCTTCTGTTCAGAACCTAGTAACTTTTTTGTGGCTAAAGTGGTACTAATATTACTGCTTAATTTCTAATACAAATTTGCCCTCAGCTTGCAGCAGTTGGTTCTTCTTATGACTTTCTATGCTATGCTAAAGAGCCTTTTAGTACCTGGTGGTTTCTCCCTTTGAAAGTACTTATACATTGTAATTGGGTCACTTCTAAATCATTTTTTCAATAAATGAAATAATTCAAGCTCATGCATTATCTCACCATAAGGCATTTAAGCCACACTTAAATCAGTTTCGGGTCTCTTATCTGCATCTTCTTCAATCTTGCAATGATGTTTTAAGAATAAGGAGACCAGAAAACAGACATAATACTATTGGACTGGTCTTACCAACGACATATACAGAGGTAAAGTAACAGATACAGGAGCTGGAATTCCTCTTGCCTCACTTCAGCTATCTCAAGGTTATTCAGCAGAACCTACGAATTCAGCTCAGAGAGGAAGGAATGGAAACTTTCAGTAGAAAACTGGTCCCACCTCTTTTAGGATTCAATGATCTGTCTTGTGCTGGTGTGGGTTTTTTTGTCATTTTGTTTTTTGAGTTGGTTTTGTTTTGTTTGGGTTTTGGGGGGGGGGGGGGGGGGAAGGTCACATCAGTGTCCCATGACTGTGCTTTATGTTTAGATGGCTAAAACTGGGTTAAGATCAATTTGTCTCTACAAATCAAGCTCCGGGAGTTGATGGAACTGACTGGCTATTATATCACTAATAAATCTATTTTGAGTCTTTTCTAAGCCTCATATTTTACTTATGTGCTCTGCATTCCCTAGGTGTGTAATTACCTTTGGCTTGGTTAAAATGCATTGTCTTTAAACAGAGTCTGTGAATTAAGTGATTCTGGTCACACCATGACAGTCCTGTCGTAGTTATTCACTGTCTGTCCAGCATTTGTGTCAATCATGACACATTTTATAAGCAGGGATTCTCACTTACTACTGTCCCTCTTGCTAATCCTGGAGGAAGCCCTTCAAACTACAACCTGAACGGCTTCCTACTGATAATTACTTTCTGGTAACTGTCAGACAGTTTTAAATCTTGTTCTGTGCTTGCTATTTATGTCAAAAAAAAAATAAATAAAATAAATCAGTATGTCACAAGAGTCTAAATTACGTGCAATATGAAATATGAAGCAGGCTGCAAATACGCTGTTACTTTAAACTTGCGATCTCCAAAATAAAATTAGGTTTGTTTGACCAGAAAACCTTTAACCTAAAGTGTGCTTGCTAGCTTTCGTTATTTTTCTGATCTTTTCTACCTCTTGAATTCTGTAATAATTTTTCCACTAGTTTCTATGGTACAGGTTCAGGGCTAACTAGCCTATACTCACCCGAGCTACCCAGCCCAGCTGTCTGAATACTGACATGCTGCTATCAATCTCTGGGCAACTAGCACAATTTTCAAATTATTCTCAAGTTTTAAGAATCAGGATTAGTGAACCAGATAGCTCCTCCACACCAACTATTTAGGAAATTAACCTGCCAATTAAACATTCTTATCCTTAGTAGTATATCATCTTTGATGTCTTGGCTAATACTCTTTTAATTACCACTGATCTGGATTTGGCTTTTAATGTTCCAGTTGCTTCACAATACAGGGCTGTCCGCAGCCTCCAAGATCACTGCCTTGCAGCTAAGCTAGTCTGCTGTCAAAGCTCATCCACTATCCAAAAGCCAAGGTTTATGTCCCACTTTCCCCGGGCCCTCTTGGGGATTTCGACACATCCTGAGAGTCTACCAAAATATATCTGCAAAGACGCACGTGAACTTCTAGATGCAAGACTGTAGTGTGGCAACAGTTTCTACTCCCTTTGCAGCCTTCATTCACCAAACCCAAGTTCAGAGACTTGGGTCTGTCCTCCCTTGTTGCAGGACCAGAGCTGCAACGAAAAGACATCCAAAATGCTACACATCTGCCTTAATCTTTCCCTAGTCACATCAGCCTAGAAGCCAAAGGATGATTAAGGCATGAAAGTGGCAATTCCCCATTAAAAATACCTACCCAAAATAAAGCAGATAGTACAAGATAAATTAATAGGTCTAGAAGACCAGTGAATAGAAGGGAAAATAGACATTTTCCCAAGTGTCTTAGGCTCTCAGTTGCCCTAGGTGGGGTGGCAGGTACAAGTACACAGTGTGTGCAGCTTTGGATAGGTTGATCTGCATAACCCATAGCTTCATCGTTAGCTGCCAAATGCATGCTCACTCCCTGCCTGAATGCCCCGGTGCCAATTCATAAAGCAATTTCAACTGTTGAATCTTTCAGTGAGATGATAGGGAGGTATGCCAGGGGTGCCGATTCCAGCTTCCAAACCCGTTGACAGTCACTGCCAAATGAACAGAGTGTGGTTAAAATGCTTAAGGCAATCTTAATAAACAGGCACTGGGAGAATTTACTGGAATTGTGCAGAAGATGGGCTGATGGGAGTTGGGGGGTTCTTTGAGAGAGAGATGGCCTGGCTTGGAGATTTCAGTGTGTTAGCTTTCTAGTCTGACTGCACACATCTCCAACTTCAAGCCACTGGGACTTGTTAGACCACTGACTGCTAAGTTGAAGAGCCTCCTATGATGGCATTTCTGCCCCTCCTAGCACTTATGTACTCTCCACCTTAATCAAGCCTAATAAAAATAAATCATGCTTTCTTGAATCTTCTATCAGTCCTATTTTGCAGCTTCTTAATCATTCTTATTGGCCTGAGAAAGTTCAGTTCATGAATGTCTCTCCTGAGACATTGTCTCTCACAGCCAGACTTGACAGCATGGGGGAGAGGATCTGGAGCCCACCAGCTCCTGCTCTTTGTGAGTGGTGCCAGGGAGGGAGGAGATGAAGACCTTGCTCAGGATGCACGATTCCCAGGCAGCAGGAAAAAAGTGGAAGAAGGTGCAGGAAGGACAGGCTGTGGGCACTGCCTCCAGCTCCTCGGCAAGTAGAAGTTAGGCTGTTTCTTCCCAGCACCCAAGCCAGAAGCCACAGTAATTTCCACTGCCCACTTATACTGCTGTGCAACTTCTCAAGCCATTGCATGGGATGGCTGGACAAGGAGCAGCCCCTTACCACATTAGACCTCAGCTCTGCTCTTCCAGACCAGAGGCATTTGGTGGCACCTCTCTTCCATTTGAAGATCAGCCTGGAAGCTGGTGCCCTTCTCAGACCACCCTTCCCTGGTAGCTGTGCAAGCTAGAGAACAGGATTGCCCAGTCTTCACTTGGTACTCCCTTATTTAGGCGCCCAAAGGTACATACTACATTCGTTTTACTGACCACCACACAGGACAATGACCTCATGTTCAGTTGTCAATGATGCATTATAGGTAGACAGAGCCTCTGCCCCAACCCTCCCACAAACATATGTACTATAAGCCCTGCCTACAGTGTCTTCCTGGGCACATAAACCTCATATTTGGTCATATAAAAATGTTATCTTAACCAACTATCAAAATGGTTCTACATTAGCAATTTATCTCCTCATTGATTACATTCTCAGTCTGTATCATCTCCAAACTTCATCA